TGCTGGGAGAAGTTTTAATGTATAAGATGAGTAAAGCTACAGAAATAAATACACTTTTTTTTTTTCCAGTAATGATAGATTTCAAGAGGGGAGAGATTCAAAGAATACTTCAAAGGACAAGGAACACACACTTAATTCAATCAGGGGATTTAAGGAAAGGTTCTGAGAGAAAATGACTTTTTTTTAACATTTTTTATTGATTTATAATCATTTTACAATGTTGTGTCAAATTCCAGTGTTCAGCACAATTTTTCAGTCATTCATGGACATATACACACTCATTGTCACATTTTTTTCTCTGTGATTTATCATAACATTTTGTGTATATTTCCCTGTGCTATACAGTGTAATCTTGTTTATCTATTCTACAATTTTGAAATCCCAGTCTATCCCTTCCCACCCTCTACCCCCCTGGTAACCACTAGTCTGTATTCTCTGTCCATGAGTCTATTTCTGTCCTGTATTTATGCTTTGTTTTTGTTTGTTTGTTTGTTTTTGTTTTTGTTTTTTATATTCCACATATGAGCGATCTCATATGGTATTTTTCTTTCTCTTTCTGGCTTACTTCACTTAGAATGACATTCTCTAGGAGCATCCATGTTGCTGCAAATGGTGTTATGTTGTCGGTTTTTATGGCTGAGTAGTATTCCATTGTATAAATATACCACCTCTTCTTGAGAGAAAAATGACTTTTGTGTGGAACATTAATGCCAGATTTTGATCAAGTAGTCAGTTGTTTTATTATATAAAATAAGTTTTGTAGATGAGGGGGGTGGTTACTTTTACTTTGATTGGATAATATTAGTAGACACATACATTTTCACGGAATTTTCTGGTCTGGTGTGAAAAAGACTTAACCTATATATATGTTTATTTTTCTGTATCTGAAAAACAAGATAATTCTTACTCCTCTAAATTTGAAGCCCCTGGGGACTGACTGAAACTGACTCAGAACTAAAGGGTCCTGCTTTTTTGTCTAGAGCCAGGATAGTTATTCATAAAACACCACAGTGTTTAATTTCTTAATCTGTCAATTTGCAACAGATTTTTGGTGAAGAAAAACCATAATTCTTAATCTTGTAGAGTTACTCCTTGGGGATTCTGAGAAGCTGCAAATTACTGACTCAAAGCAATAGCAAATCACATCTAAGCTCACACAGCTCTCTTTTAGAGGTAAGAGTATGTTTAGGTCGGGAAACAACAGAAATCTTTACAATTTTCCAGTTATTCTCAAATAGATGAGAACATCCCTCATCTTCATTTAGCTGATTTTGGAATGCTAAATGAAATGAATTTGGAAATTCATTCAGCTTCTCAAAATAACTGTCATATATTCTAATTTGATATTTGAATTTGAAATCACTTTAAAGTAATAGCATATTTGACACAGAAGACACTCAGTTTGGAATGCTCTTACTTTTCATACAGCCAACTCTAACATAATAACTTTTTTAATATGGCAGAAAAAAATGGATTGGAGTTTTGACTTTCAATCTATTATTAATCAATCAGATATATTTTGAACACACATAACAAAGTACCAAAATCAAGTGTATTTTTGGAACTTGCAAGCAATTCAATAAATTAAAATGTTGGCCTACAGCAAGGAAAACTAGACTTAAAATGTTTAAAAATTACTTTTTCCCTCTTTAAAATTGAATTCATTTTGTACTTTATTGATCACTATTTTTGATAATACAAGGATGTTTTTATTCATATGACTTAAAGATTATTTTCTACCTTTGTGTCTACATAGTTCCAAAAAATAAGCTTAATCAAATTATACCACAGCATGACCAGAAAGCTATTATTAAATTAAAATTGCACATTTCCATAGCCATTTTCTGGAAAGTTTGCAAACTCAATTCAAAGTTAATTTATTATTAGTAATAATATTATTATTGTTAGTTGGTGGCAGATTCTGCTGATACTGACAATTTGGCTAAGTATGAAATTTCTCAACTCAACACAGAAACCATACCGTTTTGCCTAAAGTAGAAAAATACCAAGCTTTCTCCTTTGATGCATGAAGGAGGTAACTCAGAGCAAAATATAATTTTATAAATGTGAATGTGTCAGGTTGGTAGTGGGTAGGGAGCTGTGGTGCCAGGGCACAGTAGACAGAGACAGGCGGATGGCAGTTGTACATGTTCCCTTTCCTAATCAGAACAGGCAGCAAGCAGCTGAGATGTGTGAATGAGTATGAGAAATGTATATGTGGTGTCGGACATAGAGACAGAGCTCTATGTAAGTGTCTACTTTCAAATGGAAGCACTGGAATGGAAACAGAAACCCAGAATATGAGCATACAGTCAGTTCACTCCCCAACATATTTTAATGGGATTGAATTTAAGGATTATAGTAAAGAGTTTAAAATTAATTGCAAGAAACTCTTGCAGGCATTTCCTTAAGACTATGAAGGATTCTTCTATTCTACAATTTTGAAATCCCAGTCTATCCCTTCCCACCCTCCACTAGACTATGAAGGATTCTTGATGAGAAAGCTGATAACATTTCCCTAGCGTAGGGCTGACAAATTTAATGTCTCAATATCCCTTACTATCAGTTGCCAGTTCTCTGTCTTCGTCAATTTTCAAATCGGTCAGTGGCACATCTCAGAAAGCTCTGACAGATACTTATTTATGGAAAAGACTCCACAATGGAGGAGAGATGCTATCAGCAGGGCTGAGACCTAACAAGATCATGAGATGGAGGAAAAAGGCATAGAAAGTGCCTGGTGGAGCAGAGAAGTTTCACATCTCAAAAGCACCAACCAAATAAGCATTTAACTGTGGTCCTATCAACTTGAAAGGCAAAGATTGTGTCCCTTGATGACAACAGCCTGTGACATAGTTTATAAAGAAAACAGAGGAACTTAAAACTGGTGGTCACAATTGTCCTCAACCAGGTTAAGTTGTGGATGGACCCTATTTTAAGAAAATGGTCTGTCTTGTAGAAACAGAAGAGAGAGATTTAAAATTGTGAAGTTTGGGTAAAATATCTTAGTCCATCCTTGTTCCTTATGGGAATCATTTGACAATAGTTCTGGAAAATCTAATTTAAAAAAAGTAAGGGAAAGGGATACACTTGGCATCGTGTTAAGATACTATATGAGAAAAAGTGAAAATAATCAACATCAATTTCCTATAGGTGATCAAAACTCATCAGAAATATGTTGACTTAAATTAGACAAAAATCATAACCCAACATTCCAGTTGGGATTTAATCAGAGAATCAGAACTACTATGGGTAATATAGAATAAGAGATTTCTTTTAAGGATTAGACCTTATGCAGTTTTGGGAATTGCCTCTGTGTCTAGTGTTGATCCTGAAGTATCTCTAAGTCAGCCATAGTGACAGTTGGGAAGGAACCCAGCATGTGGCTGAGAGTAAGGACAATCTGCAGTGTGCATCTATCTTCCCCCATCCCCATCCCTGAATTTGTTCATCCTTGATATCTGATTTGTTCATCAGTGACATGAGCATCTTCTTTGCTGAATCAGATAATAATTTTTGAATACTAGAATAGCATTTCCTAATTTTTATGCTATCTATAATGTAAAGGCTCTAGGCACAACACAATTTTAAATTTGTTATGTTTTATTAACATTTTTTCCATCATTCTCTAAGATTAGACAATCAACAGACCATAAAGTACTGATTTTACCATTTGCCCACTTCTGTGGTATAAATGCTCCCACCATGACCAATACGCCATCACTGAATACAAAGGTGGGAAGAGATACTCGATAACACATCATTATATAGTATTTCCACTATACAGATATATAAGACATAAATAACCTCAATATCATAGATAATAGTAAAATGCAATAAAATAATTAAGAAGTAAAACTGAACTTACTAACTAGTTGATTTGCTTTTAAGAGTGATGTGTGTTAGCAATTTTGAAATTAATTGTAATATATTCTAGGCTTAAAGAAAATGTGTGAAAATATTGATGATAATAGGAAGCAGTTTTCTCACTCTTGAAGAAGGAGGTGAAAAACATCAATTGAGAGAAATTAGAATACCCCCTGTGCTGTCAGACTGGAATAGGAGATATTAACTAGTTAGATATATACACAAATAAATATGCATACATATATACAAATAAATAATATTATTGTAGTTACAGTAAAGCTCCTGATATTATGGAAGAATATCCTTGCTCTCAGGAGATGTCTACTGAAGTATTTGCTGTTAAAGGGACATGGTGTCTCCAAACATATTCATACATATATGTTGTATATACATATATTTATGTATATATCCATAAATGTGTGTGTGGATTCATGTATACATGCACATACGTACACACACATAAGAGAGAGAGAATGAAGAGGAGACGAAAGGAAAAGGGAGGACAGGAGAAGAAGAAAGCTATTGTAAAATGTAAATACTGAATTGGGTAAAGGCATCCTGGACTTCCTTCTATTATTCTTGAAATTTTTAGTTATGTTTCAAATACAGAGATATAATTTTTTAAAGAAATTAAAAGAAATAAAACTGACATTATTCATAGACCACTTGATTTTTTTAACATCAAATTTCAAATGAATCTCCAGAAAGTTATAAATATTCATGCTTTAGTTTATCAAGTTTAACGTATATAATTATAGTACTCCAGAGCTATATAAAAATTCAAAATTTAAAAATGCTACGATGTAAAAATGAAATAAGAAGCATCAAATACCTAGGAATACATCTAAAGAAATATGTGCAAGTTCTCTACACTGTAAACCACAAAATATTACTGAAACAACTTAAAGAATCAAAAATAAATGGAGAGATACAATCATGGATTAGAAGACTTGATATTACAAAGATTTTCACCAATTCACCCCTGAATCCATCTCTAAATTCTACAGCGTCTCAAACAATCTCAGTAAGTTTTCCTTTGGTGGCGAGGACAGGGGTGTTTTCTGAAATGTACATAGAAATTTAAAAAGTAAGATGTCTAAGACAATTCTGTACAAGAAAAACAAGAGAAAACCTTAAGTTAACATTTATAGCAAGCTTTGTTATAAGTCTACATTAATCATGGCAATATGGAATTTGGAAAAAAATATACAAATAGATGATTGGCTAAAATACAGCATCCACATATAGACTCCTATACATGAACACTTGATTTTGGAAAATGGCTGAATAACTGTATCATAGTCACACAATGGCATAATATATAACAATGAGAATGAATAAACTAAAAGGACATGGAAAATATGTTGAATCTTACAAACAAGAAGAGCAAAACAAATGAGGCACCAAAGACTGCAAACCATATGATTCTATTTACATGAAGTTAAACAACTGCAAAAAGCAGAACTGTTTGGTCCAGACAGAACTGCAGAAAGTGGATACTCTTGGAGGGGTGGGCCATGACAGGAAGGGGACACATAAGGGTCTTGGGGTCCTGAAAACATAATATAGGTGTGTACAACTTATTAAAAATGCATCAAGCCATACACTTTTGATAAGCTCATTTATCTGCAAGTCTGCTATAGTTCAATAAATTTTAAGATAGAAAAATAAACTTTGAAAAAAATGTAAGAAAATGAGAGTGAATTAAATAAGCTTCTTGTTCTTCCTCAGACTAAAGTTGAGAGTGTGTAACTGCAGAGGGAAGAGAGAGCCATAATTTGTTAGCATTTATGTATGTATCTTTTTTTACTCCATATGGGGTACAGTAGCTCAAAGTATAGTATTTGAATGCCTTTACCAGCCTGGAAAGGTAGTCAGAATTCACTGCACAAACGTTTTCAAGGGATGCTTTGATATTCTCTGTTGAAATGTGCATGATAAACCCTAGTGAAGTCCTTTGAAGGTTACTAAAAATTGGGCTCACTGCTGGAACACTTAACTTCTATGACCTTTACTGAAGGCGAGCCAGGAACTCTATAGAATACTGTGTTGTTTCCTGAAAGACACAGTCACATGGGATTAGATTCAGTCAGAAATTTGACTTTTACCCATAGGTTCTGGTGTGACTTAATTAAACCAGAAAAAAAATTAATTAAAATTCTTACTTTTTGATGCTGGTCAAATTTCTCTGTAAAATATAAAAACAAAAAATCAAAATCTTCAGAATCTGTCTTCTAATTCCTCTTGTTTTTGAAACAAACACTCTAAGTTATACAAAATTCTAGATATTAGTTGTCCATTTAACTAACCTTGGGTTTGCAATTGATGTAAACTCTCAACATACCAAGCTATCTGTTAACATTTAGCAATTTTTAGGCATTTTCTACAGCTAATGTATTTTTTAATATCATATAGATTAATTTGTTCAAGTGAAAGTGGTCTAAAAACCTAGTAATAAAATTGTAAAAACCTCAACATATCAGAACTTAAATCCTTTAGCCCTTTAGGTTTAATGTATTTTTAAACACATTTTTAAGTGCATAACTGATGTCATTTTAGGAGAATTCAAACCCACATCTCTTCAACTTAGGTCAATTGTGCAGGTAACAGTAATAGTAATAGTTGGAGCTAATATTTATTGACCTCTTGTATATCAGGCACTAAATTAAATCTTTTATAACGTTTAATCTACTTATTATTCCAACAACTCTAGTGATAACTGAGGCTTAATAAGATCATATAGTTTACCCAAGGTAATGCTACTGGTAAAATGGAGCTAGAGATAAAAAGTCAGGTAGTTCAGAGCTCTTGCTTTTACCAAAAAGCCACAATGGGTATTGCTACTAAAATTAGCACACCGTTGAACAACACAGGTTTGATCTGCACCAGTTCACTCATACTCCGACTTTTTTCAGTAATTATACAATCATCCCTCCCAATTTGCAGGTTTCTGAATCTGCAGATACAACCAACTGCAGACTGAAATTTCTCTCTGGAGGTTCCTTAATCCGTGCATGCAGAACCATTCATTCAGAGGACAGACTGTGGGATTTGAGCATCCTTGGATTTTGGTATCCACAGCAGGTGCTAGAACCAATCTCCCGTGGATATTGAGGGACAACTGTATACGTATTCTCTGTTGTAATATAACATACAATGCAGTATAATACAATAAATAACATATTGCATGTATACATATACACATATGCATAAATATGTATTCTATATTGTAAATATATACATATGTTATACATTATACACAGTGCTTACATTTTTAAAAGTATGATTTTGTTTTAGGCCATAGATGATACATCAATATATACAGAGACTTTACAGACTTCTTTATCAGATCAAGAACATTAAATAAAAATGAAACTCTGAATAACAAGTAGATACCTCTCAGTCAATTGAAAATGTAAAAAACAAGAACAAACCATAAAAACCTTTTTCCTTCATAATTTTTGGGACACATTATAAGTCAGTTGAGTCAAATTATTAATTAGTTGAGTTTAAGCAATCACAGCATTTAAAACACACCATATCAAAGGCATAGGAACTGTTGGAGAGCTCTCATCAGAGTTGAAATCTAAAATATAAATCTTTTTCTCTCTAAATAAGAAAATAAACAGTAACAAACTAAACATTTAACTCAAGCTAGAATGGGAATAGCAGGACAAACTTAGAGCAAATCGGGAGAAGAATTAATAAAGATCAAGTGGAAAATTAATTAACTGTAAATTGAAGAACTGGAATGGCTAATTGTTTACAGAAACTAACCTAATGAGGCAAAAAGAAAAAAAAAAGGGAAAACAGAAAAATGAGTCAATCTAGATTCAGAGAGTCTTTAGAAAATATCTGAAAGTTACTTGTAATGAATTTGGTAATTACAGTTGGATGAATAATTTCTAGAAACATAAGTTTATGAATATGTTAAAAGTACTAAAAATTTAAGCCATCTAATACTGCCCCTAATTTTAATAGTATTCTGGAAGTTACAAGTTATGCAATAAGATGTGTAAAAAAGAGGCATAAATATTGGAAAAGTTTACACAAAATCATATTATACATATATGATTGTCTACTGAGATAATTTAAGCAAGTAAACTGAAAACCTATCAGAACCAATTAAAGGGTTATGTAGAAGTCTAGTTAAAATACTAAATATTCAGGTAGGCTAGGGTGGGGGCAACATGGAAGTTCTTCATAACAACAAAAGTGGTTTAATCTATTACAGCTCCCATAGGGTTGGTCCACTTACCAAATACGGATGATATTCTAGTCCATGGGTCAGAATCAGATGGTGCCTTGATCCACTTGAGCCATCAAGTGCTCCCTGTTGTACAGTCTGCTCAGGCCTGCAGAATGAAGCAGACACTTTTTACTATGAATAATAATGAGAACAGATTTTTCTTCATATGTTTTATTCTTTGCATTGAGTGTGAAGATGATACAATGGCTTAGTAAAAGTAATAAAATCAGTACAATCGCTAAAAAAAAAAAATCCAAATACTAAATAGCCAAACATTAACAGCCAAAACCTGATTGAAAAACAAGATACAATTCAAAATTCCAATAAAAGTATAAAATAACTGGGAATAATTTTAACAAGAAATGTGTAGGATCTATAGGAGGAAATTCTAGGAAGACTAGAATGAGTGTAAACAAGATTTGCTGATTGATAAATTTTACAAAGATACCAGTCTCCTCTTAGAAATATTCTATATGTGTAATTCAGTCCAGTAGGAGTACCAGTAATGTATTTTTTTTGAGAGTAAGAATTTGAAAAGCTGGGAGGGAATCATATAAGAGGTTAAATTCAATAGATGGCTAGGAATAGACTGAGTACAAACCAAGCATTATGAGATGTCCCAAAAGAAATTGAGTGATATGAAAGCTCACTGTCACCATATACCAGTAGGTTCTTGATATGAATAGAACGTCTTTTATAGGATATGCAGTGCTTCTTAATGGTGAAGGCCAGGAAACAGAATGGAGAGAAACAAAAATAATTATGAAACCATTTCTGCCTTTAGGAGCTCTCTGTATTGCACTAGAGACAAATGTTTAACAAGTAATTAAAATACCTTATAATGACTATTAATATAGATGTGTGTTTATGGTACAAAAAGGACTGCAGTAACAAATGAATGGGTACTTTTTGTTTGTTTG